CTATGAAAAATCGGAAGAAAAATATTTACAACTTTTTCCGAAAATCCGTGATTTGTCAAAAGAATTTTGACACGGCAGCCTAGATGCTTCAGGCTTTTGTGAAAAAATCTATCTGTGGGGATGATTTGGCTTGAATTTAGTTTAATGGATGCGCCGTTAGGAGAAGCTCTAAGCTCAAACTCTTCAGCTCATGGAAAACAAACCACCGCGAATTAGACCTGAGAGAACGGTCTCAAGACGCAATGGTGTATTTCCTCTGGAAAATACACGAAAATAGTTGATAACTATCGCAGGAAGCCGGATTTCATGACACTTTACAGACACGGTTCGTCAATTACGCAGCTGAGCTGCTAAAGTAATTAAAGCTGCGCAGCAGGATCATCCTGTTACGTAACCGACGCGACGTAAATATTTTGAAAATTCACATCCTTCTATCTGTTTACTCGGCTGGCATCCTATTCCTGCGCCACCGGAAAATGACACGACAAAATATGGCACGCAAATCGGTGACCAACGGCGATTGTCGAAACGTCAAAGGTGCTAAAAAAACAGGAGAGTGTTTACATACGGAAAGCGGGGTTCCCATAAACAATGAATCACTGATCGTGATAAGAAAATCCAGCGTCATTACGTCACGGCAACGCGACGCGCAGAAGAGCGAAGCTGCGTAGCGTGCCATATGCCGCACAGTGGATCGAGTCAATTAGAGTGGTCGGACATGAAATATTTGACTAAAACTGCAAATTTTTATGCTCATTTCGTCACATTTTATGTTTCAAGAGGTGTTCCTAGAAGGGAATTTAACGAGGGAGCCAATGGAGCCACTTTTAGAACCTCGAAGTTCTGTATAAACGGAGTTTTAAGCGTTTAGAGTTTCCAAATTTAGCCCGACTTCTCTGATGGACCCGGCCCAGTGTGTTCCGTGCTGTATGGGGAAATATTTCGCCAACGACGAGGCGTGAATGATCGAATTTCGATATTTCCCCCAATTTAAAGCTATGGTAAAGGATCGATTATGAGGGTGTTGGACGTTGGTTGCGAACACTCAGTTAATTGATCAGGTTTATATGGCAGATCAGTCGGTACCTATATCGCAAAGCACGCCGCGCCACTGCATTTCACGTGGTCGGAGTCACAGATGGAAACCATTTCACGTTTCGAAAAATGGAAAATTATACTTGAAAATTTGAAACTCGTCCTTTTATGATTACTAAAACAAGTATACTTCACGATTATTAACTTTCCCCCAGGTTGTAAAACGACTTAAAGTTGGACTACATTTTGCAAATAGGAAGGACTATCTTTGGCTCAGGTCAGAAACAGCATACATGTCATTGGTTTCCCTATGCAAATAAAAGCTCCATTGATTATCCAGAAAATGTCGTCCTTAATTGCGGAATGAAGTCCAGTTTCACTATGGCTTCAGGTGTGGTATTATTACATGTATTACAGAGTAACCACCAAGATCGCGAATCGAAATGCCAGACTTTCTCCTGGGTTTCTTTTCTCCAAAATTCTCGAACTTTGGAACAATACGAGATCATAATTAAAAATTTTAAGATTAAATGTTACAGCCGGGAGGAAAGCAAAAGCTAGGGACACATTACGTGCAATTTGCAATTTCCGAAAATACTATTTTCCGCTGAATTGAGAGTTATTTGGTTGTTAATATACGTGAAATTTCCCCGGTTTTCGAGGTCCTCCTTGGTTGGCCACCTTGCAACGCTGGTGTCTGACAAATGTGAATTTCAGCGATTGAGACCTTTTTTTTGTAACTACGTATAGTTAGTTAGTTAGTTATTATAATTTTGAGACATTCAGCGACTCAGGCTATTAACGTCTTTACAGGTAATTTTGAAAATAGGAGTATAAACGAAAATTTAGATTTTTAAATTAAGAGAGGTGAAGAGTTTCAGAATTTTGGTGGCAATATTAGGTTCATCGCATGTAAGAGGGTTTGTATTTCTGTTGACCTGCGCACTGCTGCTAAGATCATTCATCTTTGCTTAGGTTTTACATCGGATCAAATATGCACGCTGCATGATTTTTTTTTTTTTTTTACAGAAAGTTTAGCAAATTTTCAAAGAGTATTCGTTGAAAAATTCCAATTTCCTCTCTAAGTATTATGCAAATAATACACACAGTAATACATTGATGTACGAGCTTAGCAGCATTGCAAAGTGTATCGTGGTTAATAAAAAAAAATAGTAAGTACTCAATTTCATGAAATCTCGTGTTTTTCATCTCTAATGGAGCTTACCCAGCTCAGTTTCAATCGTTTGTAATGAGGCGGTCTAACCACTTTCAAGGACAATGCTGCCAGAGTCCGTCTGAATGTTTACCATGTGGGTATGGATTTGACTGGAGGGGAAAAAATGAAAAAATTCTAGACGATGAGGCGGCATTGTCCAAGGATAACGACCGGCTATCGTCAAAGGGTAAACACCATTACCACTCGAGGCAGTATTGATTGAGTATTGATTGCTGTATGAATTAATGACAGCTCGCTCAGGATTTCGCGCGTGAAAAATTCATTAAAAAACATCACGCTGACAATCGGTATAAAGGAAGGGTGGATTGAAATTTCGACAATCGAATCGATTTAAAGTCCGATGAATTGCCTTGTTACATAATTTATTCCCGGTTTATATGCGATCGATTCAAGTTTAAAGCTTCACTTGCATTTTAATGTACGTATACTATTTTTGGCTTGAGTAGATTCGAACATATCTTCAGAACCGCAGTTTTAATAAAATTTCAAATTTTATCAGCTTTTTCCTGGCTTATCCATAAAATCCTGGAACATTCATACAAATATCTACTGGATTTTTTCAGGGGTGCACAAAAAGTGTCATTTGGCCAAAAATTTCAAGCGAAGCGGGATTTTCTCCTCGATCACTTTCGAAAAATTTCATCACTCTCCTAAAATTTTCCGAGTGATGGGTAACCTTTTTCTTCTCTTTGGTTTGCTCTTAACTTTACAAAATTTGCTCGAAACGTCTTCCGAAGAGTAGAAAGGATTGATGAATTTTCGAAATTTTCTTTGCAAATTTTTTTCAGTGTCGTTGTGGACAAAAATTTCTTTATTTTCCCAAAAATGTCTTCACCAATCACGTGATCCGCGGATTGTATTATCCCCCTGACACCCCCCTCCCCCGATTTGCACCCCTAGCATTTACTTCGATCCTGAATATTCGCCTTAATTCCCTTATTTTTTTTTTTTTTAATTTATTTATTTAAACAATTTGGTGCACAGAACTTGCACAAAATAAGTGTGGTGCTAGTCCCAAGATGAATTTCTGTAGAAAAGTTTCCCCATACTATTTCAGAAATTCTCTCAATATATCCACACCACTTGTAACGTTGATTCTAGAGGATGACGGCTGAGCTTTGGTTTTAAAAACATTTATAGAAGATAAAATTTTTCAGCTGGCAAGAATAATAAGAGTTTAAACTTTAATTTAATTAGAAGCTGCAGCCAGATTGCCAAAAAGTTTTAATGTTGTGCCAATCAAAGGAACAAAATTGGTGTGTATAGTCACTTCGTTACAACCTTCCTCGGAAACCTTCTTTAAAATTGTTTCACTCGAACTTACTGGCATTAAAATATCCTTCAAAAAGGAAAATTTAGGTTTCTCTGGGGAGCTCTAAACGACATTTAAAAAGCTGTGTCTAATTCATTAATTAGAGAGTACTTGGTACTTATTTGCTCGAAGATCCACTCACGCAAATTATCTCTCTCCAAGATATGCAAAAAATCAATTCAACGGAACCAACTTCTGATAACCTGACTGGAACTGCGATAACCTAGTATGAAATCATCAAATTTTTGTTATCACATGTTCAATGAGACCTTGTTTGGGAAGTAAATAAAATACCTGACTGATAAAGTAATTGCAAAGATTCATACTTCAGAACCAATTCGTACTTTCCCGTCTCCATTTAAGATGTCAGATGTGAAGAGTGTTCAATCAATGCGTGTGCTTCGTTAAATCTTTTGTGAACTGTCTGATCATTTGAATTGACAACAAGAATTTAAGTTTAGAAAGGACTCAAAGTTTCATGCTTGAATTGAACAAACTCTAATTTGTTGATCAAAGAACTATGCAGCAAGTCAACAGATTTTTAATGGTAGGTAGGTAACTAGATAAAACTTTGAAAGAATTTGAAATATCTTGAGCTACAGTAAATTATCATAAGCAAACGCACAGTAAGTATGAAGAATCAATGAGAGAAAGATTCCAACCTAGATAAGTACTTTGGAACAAGAAGATAGTTGTGGGACACGCAAGTAAGGAAGAACTGTAGGAATAAGAAAATGAAAAATATCACGTTCATACCACCAAATTTAGAAAAAGAAACTGGTCAAGTATTTTGACAAGTGAGAAGGCTTTTGATGAGCTGTCAGTCAGTGAAATCCTCTGCGAGATCAATTTAAAACTACCTGCTGCTACCGGAAGAACTTATCCCCAGTTCTCCAAAAAGCTTTGCTCATCTTTTTTTAAACCTAGTCTGTTTTTTCTCCTTATCTCAATAATTATGCCTTAAATCGAGTAGCGTTTAGCACACGAGATGAGAACTTGAATGAATTGCGACTGAACTACAACTAAGTCTGATTCATGATACTTTGGCAGCTTTCCCATTTGAGTACCTGTTTTTCCTGTTGGTATGATGCCTTCCTTAAATCAGGTATCCTACTTTCATACCTCTAGAAATCTGGTAATCAATTTATTCGAGATATTGAACTAAAAGGAAACTAGATGCACAATCCTCTCAAGGTCTCAGTTCAGATCACCTCCTAAAGATTCGCCTACTTACTGCAGTTGGAACTAGGTCTACTTCGACTGACAGCCCATGTCATTTGTGCAGAAACGCCTCACTTGATGCTACGGTCTTCGTAATAAGACTGCTTAGAAAAAACCTTGTGTCGAAGTACTTACAGATTAGGATAAAAGTATAAATCTAAATGGCATTAGGTGAGGTTAGGTTGGTGGACTCACCTAATGGTAGATCGCAAAGTAGACAACACGCAGCAACAGCTCCTGCTGAGGCGCCGGAGATTTTGTCAACAAGCAGATGTGGAGCATATTTCTTGAAGCAAGCGGCTACACCGACATGATAAATTCCCAAAAACCCACACCCCGCAAACGACAGATTCATCTTCCCATTCATGTTGCAACGCACAGAAAATTCCAGAACACTGATACAAACTATGCAGAACGATTCGAGCTGAAGCTGTTCTCAGGACTTTTCACAGAAACTTCCATCATCGAGAAAAACTTCAATTGCACAAAAGGACCACACACTGGATAGGTTAGAATTCGAATTGAGACACGAAACTAAATAAGCAAGGAATCTAACTCGACGCGATGAACGTTTTGGTTTGGCTCTACGCGCGCACGACTCGGTTGCTCGTCGGAAAAACTGCGAACGAAACTGGTGATAAAAAATTTCGTCAAATTCTCCAGGAAAAAAACAAGTTAGTGTCCTACTGCGATGTGAGTTTCGCCTTGGCCACTATCAGTATCAGCTGGCAATTGCGAATCAAATCAAAACACCGTCTTCGTGAGCAGCTTCGGACGTAAATAACGGCCGTGACGCGAACTACGCGAGGGAAGCTGCGCTCCGCCGCCCACTATCAGCGCTTCCCCTTCCCGCGGTGCACACCCCCACCACGCGGCTCCCCTCTTCCCTCCGTTCCCATTGATGATTGGCAACGGAAACGTCACTACCTTCCGCAAGGAACTTACGCAATTTACGATGCGCGGTTACGGTTAATGCGTTGCGGGGAAACTCAGGGACCATTGCTACAGAAACAAAGACGGGTCAAAACATTTTTCTTTTTCTTTTTTTAGTTTTATTATTTATTTTTATCTTTTAACTTCCGATAGAGAATTTGCAGGTGTCAATAATTTTTTGGCAAATTATTGTAATATCTTGCGACGGATTCGGACTGGCCATAAGGTCAATCTGCCATTGGCAGATACGCCCCCCTGACGCATCAAATGGCCCTCTGCCATATTTGTATATAGCAAAATAAGATGAAAGAAGAAATGCTGGAAATTCATAAATGAAGGAAAGAAGAGCTTTTTTTAAGAGTAAAGAAAGGTCCTCGTACGCATGATAGTGGTGAAAGGAAGTCCAGGAAATATAAACCGAATTTAAGTCCCCAAAGGCGCCTGGGCCCACAAAAATGCTGGAAAATTGCTGTTTTATTTCCACATTGCATATGAAAAATGTAAGACGCGATGGCGTGAGTCGTGAACTCGCAATGCTCTGCTCTAGTTTAAAGCAACATTACGATTAAGACAAACGGAAACAACACAACATGGAAATAAAGCGAGGGAAAGGATGAACGCTAACGACGGCGCAGAGATACAACTATTCGTACCTGATGGACGTCCGTGCTGCTTCTGAAAAATTGAAGGCGCGATGACGCGAAGCGTGAGTTCTCAATGCCCTGCAATATGCTGCGAATGAAGTGTCGCTCAGATTCGGGAGAAAAGTTAAAAAAGAGGCCCGAATACGTCTTTCTTGTCGTCAGCTGTGTTGATACTCGTTCTTTCTTCTTTTTTCAGGTTCTTGCCAGATTCTTTTTTAGGATGGATTATTAGACCCATGTCTTAAGCTCGTGTAAACCGTAGCACTGACACGGTTCTTATGGAAATAATGGTGCTTGGATGCGTCTAGTGGCTTTAATTTTTTTGTTTTCTCTAATTTCAGAAGTCTGACGGTCACTTCAATACGTTCAATTTTACAATTTTTACTCTGTATGATTAATAAACTTTGAACCTGAAAATAGCGTAAACTTGTGCTGCTTTGCCAAAACTTTCTGAACCCCTCTCCACGAAGGAGATGCCCCATCAGGAAATATCACATTACGCCCCTTTAACCATCCAAGGGTCTACGCACTCTACGCCCTCAGATGCGAGATAGTCCTACCCTGCGTATTTGTTTTATTTGCTGAATTCAAATTTTGTATCCATAGTTCAATATTTTGAAGAGGAAAATGTGAAAAATTTGGGACATACTGGTTTAATCAAGCATGTAATTAATGACAATTATTTCACTCAACAGCAGACATTCGATGAAATATAGTGCAAACTTATGATATCACGCTTTACGATTTTATCTTTCGCTGTTACGCGAAACACTGGTCACTCTCCGTCGTAAAATGAGCTTTGAGGCATTGAAAATTTTTGTCGATTATCGATTTCGAAAAGGGGACGATGGGTGTCCTTAAGTGAGGAAATGAAAATAGCTGTCTAACTTTTGTAAAGTGTCAAAATACATACACATAAAATCTCTAAGATCGGTAAAAAATTATTTTCTTCGAGATTTTCACCTTTTTGGTAACATAGAGATGTTTTAACACCCCCCATCCTCATCCGCCATGTGCCACTCTCTCAGAAGAGGTAGCATAGTCAATTTTCGCTTGATCGCCCTCTTGATCGCTTGAGAGACCTCTAACATTTTTTTTTTTTTTTCAAAATGATAATTGATTAGGGCACATCCTATTTTCGGCTGTGTTGCACAACTGGCCTTTGGAACACCACTAAAAATGACACAAACGAAACTAACACAATATGAAAATAGAGCAAATGGAAAGACGGCGCAAAGATACAACTATTCATACTTGATGAATGTCTACGTTGCATCTGCAAAATTGAAGGCGCGATGGCGCGAGCTGTGAATTCGCGATGTTCCGCAGCTCCGCTTTGTGCTGCTAATAAGGTGTCGTGAGAAAAGTTAAGAAACGAGGCTCGATTATTACAACTCTCCTATTTACGGCTGTGTTGCTCATGCAGTCTTTAAAGCACCGCTACAAATACAAATAAGAAAACTGAAACAAACACAGTATGGGAGTAGAGCAAAGTAAAAGGAGGCGCTTTGATGACGGCGCAGAGATATAACTATTCGTACATGATGGATGTCCGCGTTGCATCTGCAAAATTGAAGGCGTGATGGTGTTAGACGTGAATTCGCAATGCTCCGTTCTATGCTGTCAGTGAGGTGTCGCTCCAGCTGATTCGAGAGACAAATTTAAAAAACTAGGCCCGATTACGTCTCGACTCTGTTGCTCCTCAATTTTTTCTCCTCTTTTAGTGTATTTTCCGAAGGAAATACACCATTTCAATTTAAAGTCTGATTCTTTTTTTAATGTATAAATATTTACAGACCTACATCTACGGTTCGTATATGTACCGCGGCCCCTTACAACGCGCGTGGCACGTTTATTAAACTATAGTCTCCTCAAATTTGACCGGGCTTCAACATCTAAAATTGACTGCACCTTGTTCGCCAAAAATTCAGGATTTAAGAGGAGAGCCAAAAGAAGCCATGACATTCAAAATCATTCAGCGAATTTCAATAGAATTTAGTTATGTTTAATCTTGCAAAAGTAGGCTCTAATTGTTCGGTGACGTCCTAAAACATTATCATGACCAACAAAATTATAGTTAAATGGGTCCTCTTGCAGTCTGCTTTAGATCTCTGGTGCATTTAATGTACGTATCGACGGTAAAAGTCGGCAATCACATAACTCGGTTCACGGCAATTCTTGAAGACTGTCATGATTTTTTCTTCTCAATACGAAGAAAATTCTGCAAAAACTTCAAGAAATAATGTCAATTTGTTCTCCTTTAAAAAATGACGTACAGGCGGAGATTTTCAGACGCCGCAAACGAGTTAAGTGATCGCCGAGTTTCACCGTTGATATACATGTATTCCTATCTCTTTATATTTTTACTTTTCTTACTAAGCACCTTGTCTCTGCCTCAAAATTTCACCGTGTGCTTTCTAGATTGTATGTTTCATTTTTTGATGAGGTTGAAAAGATCTTTACGGCGTACATATTTTTCGGGCTCATGAACTCGAAAATGATGCATAATTTTCCGACTTTTAAATTTTAAAAGCAGTATCATAGGTTGCAAGCTCCGGCTCGACTTTTCTGGAAATAATGATGCATAGATGCGTCTGGTACCTAGCTTTGATTTTATATGTATTTTTATTTTAATTTCACAAGTCTTCCGGTTACTTCAAAGTGTTCAACTTTGCATTTCTCTGTGCAATTACTTAATAAAGTTTGAACCTGAAACTAGCGTAAAATTGTGCTGATTTTCCAGAAATTCTGGACCGCCTTTCACTTTGGGGGGGGGGGTGCAAAATATCACTTTAGGCCCCTTTAGCCGGCGAAGGATTTACACCTCGAGATGTAAGCCAGTGCGACCGTGCGTGTCGTGTTCACTCTCTTTATGTATGTCACTGCACGCGCTAATAAACTGATTTCCTTTCTAGGGTGCACCGCACTCTTTCAGTGCCGTCTTATATGACCGAAAATTCCATTGGATGAATGCTCAAGACATGTAAAATGGACGAAATCCCTCGTGCAAATCGGAAACAATTTTTTCTCATGTATAGATATTATTGAAAGTCACAATCCGTCCTGCTCCGCTAGAGCGCAAAAAGGCAATCACCCACACCTCGACCGCGGTCAGGTCGATACTTCATAAAAAATTCACTCGTGCGGGGGAGGAAGAGGAGGGTACGTAGGGGATGGGTGGGGGGTCGAGGGGGGAGAGGACTCGAAAGAGTAAACAAGCTTATCACTCAATCTCAGAGTGTGACTTTTTCACCTTCAGTTAGTCCCCTCCGAAATGTTTAGCACAGTTTGCATTTTTTTTTAGAAAAAGTAAGGCGAGGAAATAGAAAAAAACATCTAGAAAAGTTCTTGAGACTTTCAATCGGTGGATTAGAAATTAACAGGGGTCTCGTCTTACGTAAGAGTCGGGACCTCGGGGTCGTTTGCAAGGAGAAACGGCCGGCGGGAGGCTCGAGAATTCGACCGATAAAAAGTGACCCCTGGGCAAATTAGCGGCGAAATTGATAAAAAAGAAGTGGAATAATTCTAGAGTGCGGTAATAGCGGATCCACCCACGGCGAAGGGTTAAGCTTATCGGGAGCTCATCGCTGGCTTATCGGGTGCGCGCGGTGAAAATGAAAGGGCACCGTCGTGAGCCCCCCGGCTCCCCCTACTTTTTTCTCCACCTCTACAGGCCCATATTGCAGTTTTTCAAAATTTGCGGTTTTACGTCGCTGAGAGGTCTCTGGGAGCCCAGGTACATTTTTATTCATGTGTATTGAAAAAAATATCAAAATAACAAAAAAGATTAATAATTAATATTACGATGAAATAATTGATATTACGATGAAATAATTGATATTACGATGAAATAATTGATATTACGATGAAATAATTGATATTACGATGTGCATCATTACATTGATCATGTTATGGATCACTACAATAACATGTCACCTTTTGGAATTCGCCGATAGGCGTGTGTCGGTAGTCCATGTTTTGAAAAAAAGAGAAAAATGGAATTGGCGACAAGAGTGATCCGCAGCACATCTATAGATTAAATGAATTTAATTTGCTGAATGGAACTTTTCAAAATGCGATTTCTCATCGCTGAGAGGTATTTGTAAGCCTGGGTGCATTTTTTATGATTGAGTATTTAAGAAAAGGAAAAAATTGACAATCAATTGATATAATCGATACATTGATGTGCGATTTACTCATTTTTGGACATGCCACTTTTTGCTAAAAACAAAAACCATTTAAATACGTTTGGAATCCATGCTTCCAAGAAAAGGATAAAAAATAGAATTGGGCGATGGAGACGCAAGAACAATCCATAGGTTATTTAGACCATGAGAGATCTGATTGGACCATTTTTTGTGAAGAGAAATTGCTGTTTCTAGCTTGTTATAAAAACAACACACTCGCGATTAGTTTCCCCGTGGAGATACGTGCGCTTTTTCGGATAAGCTAGAACTAGTAGTTCCAAATTGCTCACATTTTGCTTGAAGGTTTGATGGGTAATGGGTAACCCGCGATAGCATGGCGTCGGCTTGGAGCGCCTTCAAGTTTTGTGATACTTTACGCTTTGTCGCGGAGTTAGTTTAGTTGCATATCCGATCCAAATTCAACTAGGGTCATGGTTTTCATTACACATTCTCTTAGAGGAGTGTCAGCAACTACAATATTTTACACAGGAAAATGTGTCCATCTGCATTAAAGGCAAAATAATTAGTATCCTTTTATGGTTCCTATACTTCTGAATTTGATATTTTCCGATATGTTTACCGGTGGCTTGCAAATTGCTGGCGATTGCTAATTGAAATGCTGGGTGCAGAAACTGAAAGGGCATTCCTCAGTTGCATTAGTGTCTCAGATTCTCCGATAATGTTTCATCCCTTAATTAAAGCAAATTTGTGGAATTTGTTGAAACTCTCGCTAATTTTTTTTTACAATGCTGAGAACGCAACATTTAAGAAAATTCATAGAAGAGTTTCCTCGCTGAACTTTTTTCCTTTCCACTATTGTAAAATTTGTGTTTATTTTGTAACTACCGACCGCTGGATTTTCGTTCATGTCTAATCGTTTTGTACGATTTGGACGTATTTATGCTAAAAGGAACTATGTGCAAGTGGAAAGCTGGGGTGTGCTCGTGGTGAGCTGGATGAGAAACACTGTAAAAGTGGATATAGTTCCTTCTGAGAAAATGGGAAAGCGGGATTTGACATTAAATAAAAAAGAACTGAGCGCTAACCGTGAGCCGTGGACAAGTGACGAGAGCCCAGTGGTCAGAGCTCATGAGTTACAGCCGAGCAAGAGCGACAATAAAGACGGCTTCGTTGCCGCTGACGTCACTGACGATTTAAAATCCCCATTCTTTCTCATGGCCCTCAACGAACGAGCACACCCCAGATTTCCACTTGCACATAGTTCCATTTAGCATAAATGAATTCGTGAGAACGAAAACACACCAATTCGAAAAAATGAAAAGAATCAAGACACACAAAAAACTGCATAGTACGTGAAGAAGTTAGTCTAAGAAAAAGATGTTTGGTGCCGACAGACAGGTACTTGAGGGCACTTTAAAGGTCCAAGCAGGGCCGGATTTACCTACTTGCCGCCCATGGGCCGCTAGTATTTTGCCGCCCCCTTCTCATTCGTTTTGAAACATCAATGAAAATCATCAAATGAACGTGCCAGCGGGGAAGGGGTGCATAAGACGCGTTTTCGAGGTATCGAGTTGGTGTGTTTTCGTTCTCACTGATTAAAATACGTGCATTTGGGGAAGGCAGCCGTGGTGGGGTGCATGAGAAGCTCTTGAGCCTGGACACGCTGTACCCGATGGTCCTGGTGGCGGCTGTGAACTGGGTGCTTTTCCGCTTCCGGATCCAATCCAAACTGGCGGACACGTTCATGATCCCGAGCTCAGGGGTGGTGGCCCTCATCCTCATCAACTGCCTCTACATCCTCCAGAACTTCCTCGTCGTCGCCTCCTACCTCAACTCCGACCGGCGGCTCCCGCGGCTCCTGGCCAGTCTCGACGCCTATGACGTCACCCGGGCACGCCTCGGCTACGTCAGGAAGTACCACCTCCCGCACATCCCCAACCTCCTCAGCTTCGTCCTCATCGCCGCTTACTTCACCTACAGCGAGTGGTCCCAGGTGAGCTCACTCCCGACACATCGTCGCATCCCTCGCGAAAGAACGTAACTTCATTTCAATTTTGCCAAATTTCACCTTGCAAAAGGCATATTAACTTGGAGAATCTTCGGCGTTTTTACCTGAAAGTTTCACTGATTTTTCTCAGAATTCACGCAAAAATCGGGAATTTTTTTAATAAAAATCACAGAGGTACAACTTTTTAAGATGAATCAGTTGTATGAGTCAATTTGGCAACCTTGGAATGGAGTTATATGTTCCTTCGTGCCGGACACGACGACAGTATGTAGCTGTTTTTGACTTGAAAAATAAACAATACACTGCTAACGATTTTCGAGTGAAATTCTGTCCCGGAGTCTGTATCGTCACCTTCCGGCCAAAGTATCACAAGCGCCATGCGACATTTCAAAATTTTTGCCGCCATTTTATTTTTTGCAGAGAAATTTTTCAACGAGTCTGTCCGAAAATCTCACTAAATACTCTTCGTGCTGCCGAGCAAATTCTGTGAAATTTCCGAACAGATTCCAACAAAAAATTTTCTGTAAAAAAAATTAAATGGCGGCAGAAATTTTGAGATGACGCATGGCGCTTGTAATACTTTGGCCGGGAGGTGACGATATAAAAGCTCCAAAAGCTCCAAAAGCTCCGCGTGATACCGCTGATTTTCGTCCATTTCCAATCGTTTCGCACGACATTTGGACGTATTTATGCTGAAAGGAACTATGTGCAAGTGGAAAGATGGGGTATGCTCGTGGTGAGCTGGATAAGAAACAATGTAAAAGTGGATATAGTTCCTTTTGAGAAAATGGAAAAGCGGGATTTTCAATTAAATCAAAAAGAACTAAGCGCTAACTCGTAAGCCGTGTGATAAGAGCCTTAGGGACAGGGTTCGTGAGTTAAAGCCGAGCAAGAACGGCAATGAAAACGGCTTCGTTGCCGCTGACGTCACTGCGGCGCTTTAAAATCCCCATTCTTTCTCATGGCCCTCAACTAACGAGCACACCCCATCTTTCCACCTGCACATAGTTCCATTTACCATAAATACGTCCATTTAAGGATGGAATACTGATTCCTTTCCACCTTCTTCCTGTTCTTACTCATCAGGTAGTCGAGATTTCCTCAGCGCTTGATGGGGCCCCCTCGGAGACTCTGCTGCCTGCCCTGGGCTGGGCGGTCATCCTTCTGTACTACTTCTTGGTATGGGACATCGTGCCCTACCTGATCATCCTCTTCTGCCTGGAGATCAAGTGGCGTTTCGCGGAGCTACGGCGGCTCACCGGGTTCTGCCTCGCTTCCGCCGGGCCCCGCCAGGTGGCGCTCGCCGTCAAACGGGACGCCGTTCTCGAGGAGCTGCGCCTCCTCCACGCCGAGCTCTGTCGCGCCACCTCGCTCCTCAGCGACACCTTCGGCTTCCAGCTCCTGGTCATGTTCCTCAATAAGTACTTGAACATCGTCTTCACTCTTTACTTGGGTTTCTTTCAACGGGACATGGACATCGACGGTAACATCCAGGTCTTGGTCTTCGACTACGTCAACGCTTTCATCATCTCCTTCCTCAGCGAGAAAATCGACCAGGAGGTCAGTGCAGTAATCGTATTGCCAGTAAGGGCATTGCCAATACAGTAAGAGTTCTGTAGGACGACATGGATCGCCTGAAACAGAAAGGATCTAAGCCACATCAGATATTGCCAGATTTGATTCGGCGATTTAATTTTTTACATGGAAATACGGAGGGGGGGTAGAGCTGCGTTACGGGTGCGTTACGTAACAAATCCGAGCCGGGGGAAACAAAAAAAAAAATTGAAAAAAGAACGTGCAAAAGATTGAAAATCCCGCTCTTCCCGATTTCTTGATTGTTTGAAAATGGGGTCAGGCCAGCATTACGCAATTTAAAAAGGAGGGGGTGTAGGGCTGCGTTACGGGTGCGTTACGTAACAAATCCGAGCCGGGGGAAACAAAAAAACTCTGAAAAAGAAGGTGCAAAAGATAGCAAATTCTGCCCTTCCCGATTTCTTGATTGTTTGAAAATGGGGGATAGGCCAGCATTACGTGATTCAACAGCGGGGGGGGGGGGGTGTAGGGCTGCGCTACGTGTGGGTTACGTATTATTTCTACGACCCCTAAGCCGATGGTTGAAAAATAAGCCGTAGGTGGCTAAAAAATTGGTAAATAACGACATTTTGGGCGTTTGACCGAAGCAGCGGCGCGCGATAACCCTGATATGTGGCCAAGACTGATTCAAGGCAGATATTTGTGGTGATACGGATTTTTCATGACGTCCAAAATCAGGATCCCAACTGAGGTTGTGGCAGCAGTATCTACTCACGGGGGCTCTTTCGGGAGTTCAGGATCCTATAGAACTCGTCCTGGTATTGCGCCCATTTCAATCATTTTACCACGGGAAAAGGGTGCCGCTCTTTGATTGGTTGGTGAGTTGAAGGCTTTCATCGCGGCCCCTCCGCTCCTAGTTTGAACCAAAGTAAACAAACCAGATGAAGACAGAGTTGTAGAAGCTATAAATAATTTCTAATTCCCAACCTCTGTGAAGTAAGTTCTGAACAGAGTTTGATGGATGATTTCTCTGAAAATTGGATTTTGTGTGCGACTATCAATTCATTTCTCTCACGACGTTGCCTTAATTCCTTCCGATCAGGTTTGTTACAATTGGACCGCGTTTAACAGAAAGGAACCAAGCCACATCAGCTATTGCCAAATTTAACTGGGAAAGTCAATTTTTTACGAGAGAACGTTTGTGCGGATTCCTTTGAAAATTTTAAGGAATTTGCTTCGTATTATGGAGAAAATTCACTGAAATTTGCACCAAAATCCACCCAACCGTTTTCATGTAAAAAATCAATTCGCCCAATTAAATTTGGCAATAGCTGATGTGGCTTGGTTCCTTTCTGTTTAACGCGGTCCAATTAATCCTCAGGGGTCCCATGAAAAGTCTAAAACGAATGGATCAATCAGAGAGTGGCATAGACATGGCAATAAATTCCCCATATGGACTCCAGCGGTCAGCTCTTGACAGTAAGGGGGGGGTGGGGGGGTTGAAAGGATTTTTTTTCTTTTTTAAATAATCCAGAAGCATTAACACCTATCATGGAAATTCAACAATGAAAATTTAAGTATAAAATTCATAAGGAAACGCAAATCTGGTTTGAAAAATACGACATACCTATTCATCTAACATATTTTTAAGGAGAGTTCAGACCTGTGAAATAAGTTCGAGCCTTACTTCACGATCTTCTCAGCCGTGCACAGAGATAAAAGCATAACTGCTGCGTACGTCTACAATAATGTTTTTGAGGAAAGTCAAACACTGTATTACTAATTGCGTGACTTATTCTTTGAAGGCGCAACTCGTTTCTAGGAGCAAAATCCGTACGTAATTGAATTTCACTCACAATCAGAGCGGAAAAAGGTAATTTTAGATTAAATTTTTAGCGATAACCCCTCATGCACAGTGTTAAATCTCTTGGATTTAATCTGGTAAATAGTATTATTCAGCATTTTCAGAAAATTAAATGGAAAAAGACCGCAGTAAAAATTTTTCAGTTATTACGTCAATTTAACTCTTTCTTCTTAACTATTAAGGCACCAGAGGTCGTATCGGTGGCACATAAACTGCAGCTATTATATTTCATTGGCTGAAAAATGACCCTAGGGGTAAGGATATCTCTTTCGCGTTGAAAGTACAAAATTTAACGGTAAAATATTTGTTTCGTCTCCCCTACTAAAATAATTTGGAAATCCAAGGTTTGTCGCAGTTTGTTCCTCGCTGATGATATATGATGGACTCTAAACAGTTAAGGAGTTCACGATTAGTTTTTGACAGAAAAATTCACACCTCGCATTCTCATCTGATTTTAGATCTGGACTGCATTTTGCAATTTGGAACTTTAAATTCTGGCACATCTGAAAAAACACTTATGTGCATAGGGAAATTAATGGCACATACGTTGTTTTTAAACCGGGCCAGAATTTATAGTTCCAAATTGCAAAATGCAGTCCATCTATACCTTCCCCTATTGCATTTCAGAATTATCATACCTTACAGAAAATAGTTCTACTGATTTTCATTCTCTGCCTCTATTTTTGTAGAGTAAAATGTTCGAGACTGATCTAGAAGTTGTCAAGTTTGATCATCTCTCAAAAGACGCTCAAATTGTGGTGAGATTTTCCTTTTTACACCTATTTTAGCATGATTAGAGTTACCTAACCACGATGCAGTTGTTGTTTGAAACGGGGATTTTTTTATTTCGCAAATTTTTACGTAAAATCGATTATTTATGATGGATTTAAATAGATGAAAAACGGAGCGCTAACAACTGTTACAAAATGTCCATATTGCAGTTACCATTCTTAATATCCTGTGAAATGATACGAAGATGAAGCAAAGCATATTCGTATCCTGGAAAGCAAGCCTCCATCTTTTCCAACATCCTACCAAATTTTGCAACAATTATGCGTTTGTGCATGCTTCCCCTATAACACTGCTTATCTTGTCAATTTTTCCGAACAGCTCACTTCTATGTAACTATTGTAAAAATAGACTAATAACTCTAGATTTGAAAATGTTATTGACGTTACGTCATAGAAAGAGACGCTAAAAATGTGACCAGACATCTATGTAATATGGTGGTAAAATAAAGCTGGATCCACACTAGTTTGCGGGAGAAGCAAGGCCAGAAAATTCAAACATTTCAATTATTGCTCAAATCGTTGACTCTATAATTGAAATGTTTGAATTTTCTGGCCTTGCTTTCCCCACAAATCGTCACCTTCCGGCCAAAGTATCACAAGCGCCATGCGACGTTTCAATATTTCCGCCGCGATTTTATTTTTTCACAGAGAAAGTGTTGGTTGAATCTATTTGAAAATTTCACTGGATTTTATCGGCAGTGCAAAGAAAATTCAGTGAAATTTTCGGACAGCTCCGTTGAACAATTTCGCTGTAAAAAAATAAAATGACGGTGGAAATTTTAAAACGTCGCATGGCGCTTGTGATACTTTGACCGGAAGGTGACGAAATAGTCTGCACCCAGTGCAACCTTATCACCTTGTTACACACAGTTCTGACCACATTTTTAAGCGTTTTTGCCAAAATGTAACTTCAGTAACTTTTTTAATATATAAAGTTATCACGTTACTCACTTGTTACTTGTTTACTTGTTACGCTATATAGTTTTAGGGGCTCTGAGAAGGTCAATTTTCTTGGTTCCAGGTACAATTATTTCTCAGTCAAACACGGCTCCGATCAATCAAAATCAACGTTTGCGGGTTTTTCATCCTTGATCGACTTCTGTTTTCCTCTGTAAGTGTCACCCTTTCCTCGATGATATTAGGCTGGTTTTTTTCCTACGTATATTCTGAAATGCACTTCTTTTATTTGGGTCAATTATTTCCAGTATATCTTAATAACCTCACGATACAAATTACATAAATATTATGAATTTCGCATAACTAATTAGATAAGAGCATTGAAACATGAGGCCAATAGCATTACCTCATAGTGTACTCGCCTATCTCATGGGTAGGTATCATTAACCAAATACCTTATTATGTCACATCACGACAACCCCCCCCCCCCCNCCTTCAGCATTTCACAAATAATTGGGCTGTGACAAATTTCCTGTCGAATGACGATTAAGGTCCTCCATATTTCCGGCTATGCAATCTCAGTTTGTTTCAGGGGTACCACTTGTTTTGACCATACTTTTGGCGAATTCACAAGTATGCTGTTTTTCCCCCGTATAAAAATCCATTATTCTATCTTGGCATACGAACATTTAAATTAAAGGCTGTTTTAAAAAAAACAGCAAACCCTTAATCCTACAAAACGACTTCTTCCCTCATCATTCGAAAAAATCGAAATTCAGTCCTACGAGCTGAAGAATCAGTTTTACGACCGATAATTCAACTATACAATCCGGATATTTAGTTTCTCGAATCGAAGATGCAGCTTGACGAACCGACAATCTTTATACCGAATCAACCGAAGTTTTTCAATGAGGCGTTCCAGAACCGGCGAGATGCGGTTCTATGTATATTCGCGCGACTGCGGTTTATTTTTAAGAGCCATGCTTTATCCATACCACTAAACTTCTTCAATCTCTGAAGTTGGCTTGCTTCTCTTCGAAAAAACAAAATAGGAGCTCAAAATTTGAAACCCAGCAATAGAGACACGTGGTTTCGCATTCGCACTTTGGTCAACGATTTATGAATTAAGAGGCTTGGAGGACGAGGCGCATAAGTGCAGTTTTTGAAAAAAATTGAGATATTAATCATTTCAAGTAGAATATAATGCATATTCTGTGAAAAAATTGCTCCCAAATTCCAAATTTTAATTAGTCAGTTTGAACTTTCTTCCCGCCATTTGGACCGATGTTATTCCAAAACTTCAAACACGAATTTTTCGAAATAGCAGAAATTTTGCTCATGCGCCTAGTCCTCCGAGCCCCTCAATAGAGAATTTGCAGGTGTCTGAACTTTGATGAATTTCGTGTTTAAGTGGAAACCACTGAGTAAACTGAACACGGAGATACCCTTAGTTCATGAATTGAACAATTTTTGGAGAAGACATGACAAAATGATCTAATCTGCTAAAATACGTTTGTTCAAATGGGAAATGCCGCCAGATGACGTCAGTAGGCGGCGCATTTTCTCACTTATAAATCTATTTTTATACTATTTCCCATATCCGTAATAAAAATTATAAAAAAATGCTGTGAAATAGCCCTCTAAGCACTTCTAGTTAAAGCAATAAAAAATTTGCTTGCAAATTCTCCATTACTCCAGTCTTTTAAATTTTGTCACAAGTTTCGTCCTCACAACCGAGCTTTTTCTTTCTCCCGGTTAGATTCTATTTTTACCGAGTTTCTAGAGGAATCTCCTCCTTTCCTCGACTAAAATTAACGCAAACTTGAATCGGGTTTTGCAATGTTAGTTTATCGAAAGTGACAGACCTACATAGCGCGATCGGGGCGTCGATACGCACCTCCCAAGTGCGTCAAGAGCACTCGGTAACAATGAGCCACTTTTTATCGAGCTTATTTATTTGCCTTTGCCTTTACTTGGAATAACTCTGGCCGCCAACTTTCTTTTGTCTGCGCGCTGTCGTGCTAAAGACAAACCCCGTATGAACATTCGGGAGTTGCCAAATTGCCCCGTAAAAAAACATTATTTTTGAGGAAGTTATGTTCATATTTTTCCGCGTGATATTTTCGGATACATCGAATCAAATTGCAAAAAAAAAATTGACCGAACATTTTGAAGCAAAATAATCAACATTTTCTCAGTGAATTCGCTTCATATTGAAGGCAATCTGACAACGTTCAAAGGCTCATACGGCGTTCTTCCTTAGCACGGCAGTTCTATTCACGACTCTTGCAAAACGCAGCGTCAGCACGATTTGTCTATCCCTTTCTTCCAGCGTTCTCGTATTATGCATGTGACAAGGGTGTTGAGTTTGATAAGGACTACATTTTGCATTTTGGAATTACTATTATGGGCCCATCTGAGTAATAATAAGGAGGAAGAGAAATGCTACCATATTTGAATGTTGTCAAATTTCTTCTCAGAAAATATTCAATCATGAAAAATGTAGTGAATTTTTTTCTTTGGAATTTTCAGACTTTTTATATCAAATTATGAAAAAAAATTCCATATATTTGGACGCTATATTTTGTGTCAGAACGACATGCGATATATCGCATGGATTAGTTCCATTTTCTTAGCTACTTGTCATTTTTTTCGAATTCTGAAATTGCAAAGGTGTTGTCAGGAGACTAAAGAATTCACTTACACTTACCCATTTTGACAAAGAAATTCAACTTAATGAAAGCGGGCTATTTTAGAGGAGAAATATAGCATTCAATACTGATATCAAAACTGCACTCGAATGCGATATTTCCCCTTTAAAAATACCACGCCATTATTACGTTGAATTTGTTTGTCGAAATTGGTAAGTGAATTCTTTGGTCTCCTGACAACAGAATTGCGATCTCAAAATTCGAGAAAAATGACGAGTGGCTGAAAAAATGGAACCAATCCATGAGATTTATCGCACGTCGTTTTGACAAAAAATATGGCGTCCATCGAATCATCTCGAATGAAAAGATTCCCAGGTTTTGACATTATTCATTTATTATTTCCATTGTCGCTAGTAGCTATAATCTACAATTCGGAAGAAAACTGGGGAAATACTTTCAGACATGCTCGTTTCCACACCACCTTAGGAGAGCTCGATCAGGTACTGCTCCCGGAGGTAGAGCTTTCGGCGCGTTTTTTTTTAACGTGGTATCGCCATGAGCCCTAATCCACGGGGGAGGGGAGAAGGGAGAGCAAAGGGAGAAAGGGAAGGAAGAGAGAGAAGGAAGAGAGAGAAGAAAGATTTCGTTTGTGTCATTTTTAGTGGTGTTCCAAAGGCCAGTTGTGCAACACAGCCGAAAATAGGATGTGCCCTAATCAATTATCATTTTGAAAAAAAAAAAAAAAAAATGTTAGAGGTCTCTCAAGCGATCAAAAGGGCGCACGTCTAAAAATTGACTGTGCTACCTCTTCTGAGAGAGTGGCACATGGTGGATGAGGACGGGGGGTGATAAAACATCTCTATGTTACCAAAAAGGTGAACATTTCGAAGTGAAGAATTTTTTACCGATCTTGGAAATTTTATGTATTTTGTCATTTGACAAAAGTTCGAAAGCTATTTTGATTTCCTCACTCAATGACGCTCATCATCCCCTTTTCGAAAACTATAACCGAGAACAATTTTCAATGCCTCGAAGCTAAGTTTACGACGGAGAGTCAATTTTTCGCGTAACAGCGAAAGCTAAAAGCGTAAGCGTAAGTTTGCACTTTATTCAATCGAATGTCTGCTAGAGGTAGTGAAATGATCAATTTTCCAGTATTTTTGTAGGCCCAGGCGCAGGCGCCTCTGGAGACTTGTTTCCGGTTTATGGTTCCATGACCTCCATTCGCCACTATCATGCGTACGAGGGTATTACTTTACTCTTACTTTCTATTCTCCTGTTCATTTATGAATTTTCCGCATTTTTTCTCGCATCTTATTTTGCTATATATGGCAGAGAGGCGCGTCTTCGATGCGTCAGGGGGGCGTAACTGCCAATGGTAGATTGGCCTTATGGCCAGTCCGACTCTGATTTACGAATTAACCGTTCTAAGCTGTGGTATATTCATTCAGTTTTTCACTCAAGGCACATTTCGCCTGCATGATTCTGCCGCAAACTATAACGGTAATGAAAATGTGTGGGTTCAACCCACTCAGGTTAATATCCTTTAAGATTGGGGTATCTTCGCACCTCATCGTATTTTTTTCTCGACGCCGCGACCTAGGAAATTTTACCGCACGTTGACATCACTTGTCTCTGAATATTGCCGTGCTAAGGAAGAAAGCCGTATGAACATTCGATAGTTGCCAAATTTCCTACGATAAAATGTTTATTTTTCAGGAAAATTGTGAATATTTTTCCTTGAAATTTTCAGAAGTTTTAGATCAAAGTACAAGCAAAATTATCTTAGAAATTGACAGAAAAATATTTAAAAATTTTCCTGAAAATCAGTAATTTGCCAGAGGAAATTTGGCAACGCCTGAAGGTTCATACGGCGTTCTTCCTTAGCACGGCAAAATACATATGCATACACTTACACCATTACCTACACTCCAGTCCCAAATTTCACTCTATTTCTAAGAGTCTTCACGACATATTTCTCGTGATATTTCAAGATTTTACGTCGCGTCGCATGTGATGTAGATACCCTGTAACTATTACGATTAAACAATATCGCCAGCAGTCGCTGAGGAACAATATCGCCTATCCTCAAACCGACGATTTTACAGGACAAAGAAAAAAAGTTCGCCATTTTTGTGATTTTAAGAATAGGTTTGCAATTTTTTATACATTATAGCGTCATCACAGCCCTCTCATGTAGAATCAGAAAAAACTAAAAACATCAGCTTCCGCACGGGAAAAAAAGTAACCGAAGTGACATCCCGAATGTTAAGAATTTGTGCGACGACTCTTGAATGTTGATCTGAACGCTACGGCTGTTAACGTAAAATCCTAGCTTCGTTGAATTCACAGCCGAAACTGACAATTTTGGCGAAAATGAGTCGGCAACTTTGGCGCATTTTGCAGTATAAAAATACGCAAGGAACGAAAAAGTTGCTAAAGTAACATCCCGAATGTTAAGAATTTGTGCGACAACTCTTGTATGTTAATTTGAACGCTACGGCTGTCAATCTAACGAATCTAGGATGTTACGTTAACAGCCGTAGCGTTCAGATCAACATTCAACAGTTGTCGTACAAATTCTTAACATTCGGAATGTTACTTAAGCAACTTTTTCGTTCCTTGCGTATTTTATACTGCAAAATGCGCCAAAGTTGCCGACTCATTTTCGCCAAAATTGTCAGTTAGGTGGTTCTTCAGCCATCGTGTAGTTACATGACTGAGTAGGAAGCAAATAATTGAAGCAACTTTAAATTGCCAGCGATTGCCGCTTCAATAAATCGATTGTGAAACCCTCAGGGGTGAGTAACATCGAGGAGTTTTTCAGCTTTCCACATACTTGACCTTTGCCGTTTCACCTATCCGCTCAGCGATGGAAGTTTTACGGATGGGTTTTTATTTGTTTTCACTGACAAGCCCTAAACAAATATTCCTTTTGTCTCGCCGGCTTGGCGCGGCGGCTGCCTGCGATGATTACGGAAGCTCTTATCGACAATTACCGGCAATTAAGCCCCGATTTCCCGAGACTCCGGCCCTGGGCGTGAAAACATGAGAGTAATAGTAAAGGGGAATGCTCGGAGAAAAAAAGAAGGAAAACTATGCCGCTTTTTATCATTCGATACTTTTTATATTTACCTCGGAGTCCATGTTGCCGCACTGGTTGAATATAAGGCGCAATTTCTGGTTGCATCGAGGCTGACATAACAACGCATACTGCAGTGCTTAGCTTTATATTCTGATAAAAAAAAAAAGTGAATGCATCTATTTTGAAAGTTTTGGAGACGGACCATTGTAGAATAGATCAGAACTGGTAATATGTCGATGGCTAAAACAGGGGCAGATCCAGATACCTCTAAAGGAAGGGTGGAATGAGGGACCGGGGGGCCGCCCCCCCCCGAAAATTGTCGAAATTTTTAACATCTGGTATGCACACATGTGAAAATTATGCCACAGAAAAGTAATTAAATGTTTAAAAACTAAAACATTCGTTGTTACACAGAAGTACACTGGAACAAAAAGTCGCTTGGATTTAGAGTCCAGACTCTTGAAAACATTGACAAGAAAAAATACTCTTGATTCAATCGGATTTTTGCTTGAATCAAAACGAAATCCGCTCAAATTAAGAGGCTTGGTTCTTGATTTAAGCAAAAATCCGATTGAATCAAGAGTATTTTTTCTTGTCGACGTTTTTAAGAGTCTGGACTCTAGATCCAATGTGTTTTTTTTTCCAGTGTATAATGCTATGCGCCATTGAGAGTTCAAGTCCTGATAGCTTTCTTTCATCCAATCAAAAGTGAAACTGATGGTTTGTACGAAAACAATGCTTTCCAACATGACTGAAAGCAAGGAACCTTAGTCTTAGCGTAATATAGAGCGTAGCTCGCCTGCATTTTTGAGCACAGGCTAAAACAGCTATTTGTTGAATTGGTTGCATAACCATCTAAATTGAAGGTGGCTCACGCTCCCTTGCTCTAATTAGATTAGATAGTGTTCATTCCATAGCAAGGTGAGCATTTTTATTTCTGAAAGATAGGCATACGTTGCTGTCATACGTCAAAAATGAAGGGGAATAATATGCACTCTGTTTTTTACATACAAAACAATGCAACGCGAGGTTAAAACTTTTGTCTGTTTTATTCAAGCATTTGTTTTTTCTGTTTTATTAACTCTTTATTTTAGAGAAATTTAATTGGGTGGGCACATAATGCAAGCCATCAAATTTTCTTTTATTTAGTCTAAGACTTTAGTAAACTGGTTACTTTTATAAGTTAGAAGCTATACTTTATAAAGTTTTTATTTATCATTTTTAATTTTCTTTTGCTCTGTTACTTTTTTGGCATTTTTATTTGATACGTACAACCCAGACAGAGGGCAGGCTCGTATTTACATTCTAGCTGAAAGACAGAGTAAGTTCTTTGAGGGAAAATTGTGCTTGTGTGTGAGCTTTTTCCCGCTCTAATGGGATTTCAGTTTTAAGCTGAACTTTTTACGCACGTTGGCTACAAAACTCCAACATCCCGTCAGAGTTCTAAGTATTAATAAAGTTATAAGATTTACATATTAATAAAGGGTGAAGTTATCTTAGCTAGGTGTAATTGGACTTGGCGTTACTTATTTATGTGTTTAATCTGTGTTTACTTTTTGTCTGCCTTGATTCTGGAACCTGTCCAGCATGCCCTTAAATTGTATCTTCATTGCGGTGTGTTTTACCCCATCATTCCTGTCTCATCAAATTTAACGGATTTGCAATTAGGTAGTTTCAGGCAGCTCCATGTAAAATACAACAGTGTGCGGTATACTGTGCAATAGTGTGAGGATAGAGCCGACTTTATTTCAGAATCCCGGATATCATTTCCAGACAGCGTGCTGCCAGTGGCTAATGAGGCGGCTAGATCTTAGACTTTAAGTGGGTAGTATTTCTTGGTAGCACCAGTAGGTTCCAGATAGTTCTTTGAACTATGAGGAGAGTTCCAGTTAGATGTGGGCTGTTGATTGCGAAGTTTAAAAAAAGGAGCTTACGACAGTAACCCACTTTCTTTCGCGTTTTATCGTCTATAATTTCTAGAAATAATTGCACTTCACTATAAAAATAATGTCAAAGAAATTTTGTTGGCCACTTTCAATAGGAGGGTGTCATGATTAAAAAGTTTGAGTACTGATGTAATTTTTGTATAATTATTTTGAAAAAGGGAATTGAATCGAGCCACTGGTTAAAAAGAAATTTACTGGTCACAAGACGTGTTTCTTTAACAAACGTGTAGAGTAAGCGTGTTGAACTTATTGAAATGCTTCAAAATCAACCTGGAAAAAAGGGACTCGTGCGTATTTTTTACAAAAAAAAAATCATTTAAAATTGTTTGGTCGTAAGAAAATCCAAATTTAATTTAATTAGATCAAATTATACTTGAAAAGAAAAAAAAAGAAAAAATACAGGGTCCCTGGCAAATTTCTAGGTTTAGAATTCAGATTAGTTTTCTTCCACATTTCTAGGGCAGTTAATGTGAATTTGGAGGGAAACATTCAACACTCTCAGAAAATAACCGTATCGTAAAGAAAACTGAAGTTAGTTAATCTGCCAGTCATTGATTTAAGTCGGATTTTGCCTATAAGGAAGTAAAAAGTTTGAAGTTACAAGCAAAAAATTAACAAAAAACACAACTTTTTACAGATAATCGGATATTACAAATGGACAATTTAAATCAAAATGAATTATTTATGCATAATAGTTGCAACATCGTGCATCCAGATATAAATCACTGTGTCTTCCGAATTTTCGACAAATTTCGAGGAGAAAATGTATTTTATGCTCCTTGGTTTCAAACCCTAACTAGTGTTTTATTACCTATTAAATATTTACCAAATGGTGAACAAACTTCTCTCTGAAGGGTCATAGTGTCCTCCTTACTCAATTTCTATCAGCAAAGGGACTACTACTACACTGCCGTGCTAAGGAAAAACGCCGTATGAACCTTCAGGCGTTGACAAATTTCCTTTGATAAAATGCGAATTTCTTGGTAAATTTATGAACATTTTCCTCCCAATTTTTCAGATAACCTTGTTCGCAATTTCGCCTGAAGATTCTGAAAATCTGAAGGCAAAATATGCATAACTTTCCTCATAGATAAACGTTTTATCGAAGGAAATTCGGCAACTCTCGAATGCTCATACGGCGCTCTTCCTTAGCACGGCAGTACAACAGTGGGTACAAATAAGAATACCCTTCATTTGAGTAATTAGCAATGTTTTTGTCAATTCGGTCGCCTTAACTTCCTTTGCGACTGATACACCGTCATAAAGTTGTCATAAAATTTGAGCAATAAAGTGGACGAGCGCCATCGTAGCGTGGGATTTTATAATTTTTGACGTCAAATTTATCATTGAGGAAGGTTTTGCGTTTAGATAGATAATATCTCCATAGTACTCGGCTACGATAACGCATTTTACGTAACATTGTCACGATTTCCCGAAGAGTTGTTTACGATTTACAGAGACAGCTAGTTTACGGGAAAACTCTGCGCCTTACGCATTATGGAACAGATTATCCAGACCTTCAGAGTATTTTTCATCTTTTCTTTTTCCTTCTTCTTCCAGATGACGGTAACTCTCGTGACGCATTTTATCGTCATCATGGAGATGACGCCCGATTTGCATAGACTCCTCAAAGGGATGGTCGACCCGGCCCGGTATGATGGCAGTAAGGATCCGGAGTGGACTAAATCCCTTTTGAAAAATAAATAGGACTCTTCCTTAAAATTTCCAAAATTTCCAAAATTTCCAAAATCTCAACTTTCATACGAATATATGATCGGACCCCGGAGGGAAAAGGACCCTGCTAACACACATTTTAGGGAAAATAACACTGAAAAATACTTCTCGGCGTTTTTACCAACGTCCGTTGGTACCTTTACCATCTCACTTTTTTTACCAATTATTGGTAATTTTACTAAGACAGACCGGTAAGCTTACCTAAAAACCGATATTTTTAATGTTTTTTTTTCAGGTAAGAATACCACTTTTATTGGTAATCAATTCCCTGTAACTTTGCCATTTTATCTCGGTAATTCTACCACAGTCGATAAAAAATATTGGCGTTTTTACCAAGGTCCAGTAAAATTACCGAGAAAGTTCAATAATTTTACCGAGATTTCTCTGTAAAATTACCAATTCCATAAATATGGTAATTTTACCAAGAAAAAACTGGGATCAAATAGAAGGTTGAATTCTTGGCAATTTTACAATTTTCTTAGTTAATACACCGAATTTTTTTTTTTTTCAGTGAAGATTACCAGAATCGCAGAGATCTCCGAGAATTATGCTGTCGTGTTGAGGAAGAACGCCGTATGAACATTCGAGAGTTGCCACATTTTCCCGAATAAAACATGTATATGTATTTTTGAAGAACGCTGTGCATATTTTTCCTTGACATTTTCAGATCTTTACGATGAAATTGCGGACACAATTGTCTTAAAAATTAGAAGAAAAATATTAGCAACTTTCTCAAGAAATTCGTATTTAATCGAAGCAAATTTGGCAATGCTCGAAGATTCATACGGCGTTCTTCCTCAGCTCGGCAGTACACTCCTCAACATTTTGGACTGAAATTCTGGGCCGGGGTCTGTATGTATAGCGCTTACAAAAATTCCGAGTGATATGAATGCGGAGAGTGATTTGTGTTCCTTACGGAGTGCCTTACACTATTACGGAGCGGAATCTATTCATTTTGCGGAGTTTCATATGCTTTTATGGTGCTAATTTCATTTCGCATTTGTATCACTCGGGGTTTCTAGGAGAGTCCGACTCAGAGACTCAGAGACTCTAGCACCACCTTTTTCTTCTTCTTTTTTTGAATTTTATTCGAGAATTACACATACTATATACAGTATTAGGAAATTTACAATTTAAATTATACTAAAGCTAAGAAATGATAACTGGTAGGTGATAACCCTATTGAAGATTTGGACTAATCCTCAATTTTTAACGGTGTAATTACACGGAAAAAAATTAAATGTTGATTTTGCATTTATACTGTTAAAAAGATTTCCGACAAGTTTCAAATGCTGATTTTACAATACAAAAATGCCAACATAACATTTTAATTTGTACGTTTTTCAGTGGGCGTAGTTACGTTAGTATGTGTTAAAATGTAAAATCAGCATTTGAAACTTGTCGGACATCTTTTTAACAGTATGAATGCTAAATCCACATTCAATTTCTTTCCGTGTAGCACGAGAGAGGATTGGAAGTTTCGCACACCATTATTTCGCCTTCAATTTTTGAAGTAGGCCAGAAAACTTTCTCCAGGGATTTTTAGCCCAAAAAAGTACAAACTCGGGGTTTTTGGGCGCTGAGAGACTCCGCCACTGAGTTTATCTCTTCAATTTTTAACAGTATGTACGTCATGCGCACGTCCAAAAGTGCAATGATTTCAAAATATCATAAAAAAAGAGGGGAGCCCGAAATGAAAAATGCGACACGTTGAATTTGCAAGTCTGGGTCCAAGAGCGGTCGACGCGAGTGCACTTGACTCCATTTAACCTTGCCGCCTGCATTGGTCAACAAATTAGCTTCCACCGTGGTAGAAAAATTAAAAACAGCTGAATAATAATCACCCGTGCCCATTTTTATGCGCCGCCGATGAGAATGTTATCTAACAGATAACCGGACGCAGCGTTTTCCCGCGCTTATGTTGTTGCCCCCCTCCCCCCCTTATGAAGTTGCGCCCAGGGGAGGGGAAGGGGGGCGCCCATTGCTCGACGACTCTTTGCTTACCTTTCCTACTTCTTCGGGTCTTTTGCGTAAGAGACCGAGTTTATCACTGATCCAAGGAGTAGGTTACAATGAGCGATTAACAGCGGCCAGTGGTGCCAATCCCAGTGTTAACCCGGAATTATCCATAAAATAATTTAGACACTCTCTAAGAATATTTAGAGTTTGACTATTGTTAATTGGCGTTCGACAATATATTTTTAAAAGTCCGCCTCCTGTGGTGTAGTGGTTCCAGCGCTGGTTCCTCTGATGAAGAAGGTTTAGGTCCGATTTCCGACTTGCAGGCTGATTATTGAATTTGATGCGGACAAGCTATAGGCAAAGTCAGAGTACCTATGTTGGGAGAGTATGGACAAGTCGAAATATGTAGCTCTTAGGGCTCAAATGGGTAGATAACCTTTGAAAACGAAAAATGTCACTGTCAATCTTTAGACTACAATATCAAACGAAAATTGTCCAGAAAATTCATAAGGAGGCATTCTTCCGCAAAAATGAGTAAGTTTATGCAAAAACCAAATCAAATACGTGCTCTACTAAGGACAGTTCCAACAAATTGTGATTAATAATCGCTTCGCATAATTTAAATTCATAGATTGCCTACCCTTTTCGGGTCCAATACTCCATTCCTGACCTCAAAATTTTCAACATGTCCATACTCTCCCTATATAGGTACTCTAGGGAAAGTGACAGACAAAGAAGACACGGGGTAGTGGAACTATTCTATTGGTTTAAACTTGTGGTTCTTTTAGATTAAGGGACAAAATGATGGAACGATAGGGTCTTTTCTAGGATGCCATTAGTTAGTCTATTACTTACGTCGTTTGTCATTTGCGACCACCCGCTTCCACCAATAGAATAGCTACATGCAACTGCCCATTGTCCGTTTCGTCTATTGCTTTGTCCATAAATTCCAATATTTAGCACGCAAAAATGGATCCTCCAGTAACCGTAGTCTCTACAGCTACATTGCCTGCAGCGGATGTAAAAACCATGTATCATGAACCTGGCATGTTATTAATCGTAAAAATTCTAACGCATGAAGATCCCTTAGGCAGTATGCCGATGAAGTAAAGTAAAATTAAACATTTTCCCAAAATTGCTACTAACCCCTTTTCCGCTCAAGAAATAGGCACAATATATTTTCGGACCTTCACACCATGCCTGGACGTGTATGGATTCATATTTCAACTATAGACTCTCTAATCCTCTCATGTAATTAGGTATATGAAATGTTTTATGATTTATACAATTTCCACTTTGAGGCTCATCTGATAGACTATAAATAATGGATTAAAATGTAATACTGCGTAGAAGTTTGTTAAATTATACCTTTAAGTGATTTTACATTAGGGAAGGGTTACAAAGTTGTTGAAAGCATAATAATATATTTTTCAGCCAAGTGAATTTTTTCTTTACCTGTACTTATCTTGCATCTCCTTTAACCCATTTGAAGGTATGGGATTGAGAGACCGGTGGGAAAGAAGGAGTGTGCTCGTTAGTGGAGGGCCGTAAGAATGAACGGGAATTATAAATCCCCAGTGACGTCAACGTTGAAGATTAGGACCGGGGACGACGGTCGCGGCTCATCAACTCATGAGCCCTGTCCACAACGCTCTTGTCACATGCCCACGGCTCATGAGTTAGCGTATTTTGCCGCTTAGTTCCTTTTCATTTAATGTGAATTTTCACTTTTCCATTTTGCCAATCACGCCCACTTTTACATTGTTCCATATGCAGCTGGCACGAGCATAGCCCATCTTTCCCACCCGTCTCTGGTTACTAGAGAATTTGCAGGTGTCTGGAATTTGATGAATTTCGTGTTCAAGTGGAAACTACTGAGTAAAATTAACACGAGGATACCCTTAATTCATGAATTGAACGATAATTGGAGAAGATATGACAAAATGATCTAATATGCCAAAATGCGTGTGTTTAAATGGGAAAGGCCGCCAGATGACGTCACTAGGCGGTGCATTTTCATTATTTTAAATCTATTTTCATACCACCCTGGTAAAAATTGGCGATAGGAGCTGCGTTTCAAAATACCATAGGAATTCTTATAGCTGGCTAAACAAGGAAATATAAAATCGTATAGCTGGCTGTAGAAAGCGAAGCAAATCATATAGCCGGGCTAAACGAAGCGATAAAAAAAAGTATACGGTCGGGCTATAGCTCCTATCGCTGGGCTTTACACTTTATCGCCATCGGCTATAAAAGGCTATAAGAAATTGTGTAGAAATTCGTGCGCTTTGGAGATCATTAAGTTTGATACGGAACCACCATAATATTTACAAAACACACATTATATTTTCCTTTAATACGAGGGGCGTTCAATAAGTAAGTATCCCCCCTCTCTAAAATCGATTAGAATGGACCAATTTTAAAAAACTTGGGCTCAAAATCTTCCTTAGGATATTTTGAGTTCAACAAAACAAACCGCAACAAAATCGGACTATGTGCGGCCGAACGCGAGCCGTTTGAACGCGCCGACGTGCTCGACGTTCCCACCGAATCCGCGAGGATTTGAAGTCCGCTACAGGAGAAGAGCTTCTCTGCCAAAGCCTCAGTCGTTCATCACTGACGAAAAATCAAAGAAATTTTTGTAGAATAAGGGGCTTACCTCACTTCTCCACATAAGCAGCTCGATCCAAGCAAGTCTGATACTGAGACTAAGACTAAGAGAACAGCTTTTGGATGCCTCGTGCGTGGAAGTCTTTCAGCTGACCGCGGATGAAAGAGTGGACGGCTTGTTTTTACCTCTTCCACTGATTCAAAATTTACTCCTCCAAGTTCAGATTTCAGGAACGGGAATAAATGGTGGTCTGGTTTGCCATTTATTATCGTATCTGAAATCTGAACTCGGAGGAGTTAATTTTGAATCAGTGGAAGAGGTAAAAACAAGCCGTCCACTCTTTCATCCGCGGTCAGCTGAAAGACTTCCACGCACGAGGCATCCAAAAGCTGTTCTCTTAGTCTTAGTCTCAGTATCAGACTTGCTTGGATCGAGCTGCTTATGTGGAGAAGTGAGGTAAGCCCCTTATTCTACAAAAATTTCTTTGATTTTTCGTCAGTGATGAACGACTGAGGCTTTGGCAGAGAAGCTCT